TTAACATGTCCAGCACACAAAGCACCACAACACTTCTATATAGATACATACCATAGACTCCACAGATTATCCAATCAGGTGACAAAAAAACAGTCAGTTGCTTTTTGAAAAACCTCGTGGAAACACAACAAGTCATTCAGGTTATTGGGTTAAGAGATGTCTCTTGACCTAATTGTTCACATATGAACTTGCTGTTCCATGTGTGGCTTGGTGGAAGGTGCAGCCATGAATGCATTCATGGGATTAAAACCTGTCTGCACTCACACATCAGCTCTGCCTTTTCTGTGCCAAACAAAACAAGGGAGCCACTGTAGTTTTGCCCCACAAACAGATGAGTCAGCGTTTATGCTTCCAGCCGAGTCATTGTCAAATCACATAACAGTCGGCGAGGAAGTGGAGCAGAGAGAGTGTGAGCAGGCAGCAGGATGTTTCGGGGGGGGTAGCTGTTGGTGAAAAATCAGTATTCATGGCTGGAGAGAAATGCCAAGCGGTGATGTTCGTGTTTGTCATAACGGAGACTGTGAAGCGAAATGTGAAGCTTTGGGCTATTTGAGGGAATTTAGTGGGTCACGTTTATTGCACTTGAGTCAAAATCTGATGGATTTCCATGGCAACCTGCCCCAGTAATGAGATACAACTCTGACAGCTGCCTGCACAGCTGTGACTAGTTGGTGAAGATTAGTTGACTAAACAGAATCCATCCTTGGTCCTGTGCGCTTCTCTAAACACTACAGCTGTTCCAAGATTTCTTTAAAGGCCACTTTCAGTCCACCTTGTAGCAGAAGAGCTGGAAGTTAGAAAACAAGCAGAGTAGTGTCAGTGTAATCAAAGTTAAAATACTCAGCAGTGAATAACTGTTGGCCAGAAGTACTATAGCAGATATTTACAGTGGTAAAGAATAATTGGGTGTATTTACTCAATTTCTGTGCTTAGGTACAACTTTGAAGTACTTGTACCAATCATTCCCATGTTATGCTACTTTATACTTCCATTCTACCACATTTCGGAAGGATACATTGTACTTTCTTCCCATCTACATTTATCCGACAGCTTTAGTTACCATTATAATAATTGTTTTACACAATGGACAATATAACAAGCTTTTAAAATACAACATGTTATTAAACTAGTAGTTCCCAACCTTTTTGACTACTTATGTGTAATCTGGGTCACGTATGTTGGTAACGGGTCAATCAACTAGTGACCAAATGATCCAATATCTCACCCAAAATCAAAGACTGGAGAAAAAAATCTGAAGAAAGATTTGTGTATCAAAACTTTGTTAGTTCTTCCTTTTAATCTTCCAAATTTAATCTCATAATCTGCTGTCCCTGTATGTGAAACAAGAGATGGTTAGTGGTGGTTAGTTTGAACTAGTTTCACCTGCAGCAGCTTCAACAGTAATAAGCTGCTGACACATTGATGCTTCACTATTCATATTATAATGGTGCAATGTGTAATAAAATATCACTCCGATTAACCAAACCAGCCCATTAACACTTTAGATTTTTCGCATACCTAACTATACTTATGTAGGATTTTTCATGCAGGACTTACATGTAATTGGGTGTTTTTACATTGCTGCGTTGGTATTTTTTTAAGTAAACGATCTGAATGCTTCTTGCTCCACTTTGAACACTGAGTAGTTTAACTCAATCCACACGCCAAAACTAACCAGACTTTCATAAAGGGAGCTGCCTTAGACATTTTCTTATTGACTTTAGGGTTTCAGTCTCTAGTTTCTAGACCTTTGAACGCAGCATTTTGTAAATTATGGCCCCATTTAGAGTGAAATAGACCATAAAGCAGGGCATTTTTTAGGGCACGGCAACTTTGTGATTTTCAGGTCGGCTCCACCTCTCGCTCATCTCGTGCATTTTCAAAAGATGGCAACGACCAAACGCCAAACTCGAGGCTGCAGTACGGTAGTTCACAAACCAATAGAGGACATCACAGTGTCTATGTCTACCTTTGATATATCATCTATGATGACAACACACAAGTCTGTGGATCCTGAAGCATGACATGAAGCATCAGCTGTTCATGAAATCATACAAACACATTGATGTCTATGATTATGTTGACAGACCATGCGGTGGTGCTACAACAGCATGTTCCACCTTGAACTGCCTAACTGCCCAACGTCAGTGTAGTTTTGGTATCACTTCAGCTGCCATTATCAGTATCAGTCATGTATAAGACTCTATGGGCAAGTATTAAGTAGAAACTGCTCGTTTGACATAGAGAATAGTAAAAAACAATGTATTTTGACTCTTTCTCAACAACTAACAAGAATGCACCTCCCATTTCCTCCAATGCTTTTTGTTTGCGTTAACACTCAACTACCCAACCCTCCCAACACACTTAGAGTGGTGAAAAGTAAATGAACCCCTAAAAATGTGGGCTTTGTTATGTAAAATGAAAAGTACAAATTTGATTGGGATAAGGAACAATACATCAACTGAAAAGGCAAAATATCATAGTATTGTTGTTCCATGTGACCTCATGAGCTTTACTGGATATTTACTTGCACTTCGCTGGTATGAGAACCAGATCAATAACTGGTGTAGACCGGTTAATAAATTCATCACGCATGGCACTGGTGAAATATTTGTTTTGACCTCTCCCCATGAAGTCTTTGACCTCTTTTACTGGTTGCACAACAGAACACTTGCGAGTCCATGTGACTTCTGTTTACAGGTCCTGGTTTTCCTTGAAAGTTGACGGCGTGAATTCAGCTAAACAAAGCAAACATGCAGTTGAATCACGGTAATAAATCAGGTTCAGTTTAGAGTGTTTTACGATACTGTATATGAAAAAGACGCTCCTTCCTCTTGGTGATGGATTAAAACGAGATCGTAACTGTTTGTTGTCGAGGCTTTTCAGAATCGCAATCTTTTTCCTGCCTCAGCAGCAGCAGCAGCAGCAGCGAATCAACAGCTGTCAGTCCTCAAGATTAGCTACTCTGTGTGTTTCCCCACTTCCAACCACGCAGCAGGTGGTGTGTCTGCATGCTAAAGATCCGAGGCCGATGGCATGACATGATGCCTCTTGTATCACCCCGTGTGTGTGTGTGTGCGTGTGTGTGTGTGTGTGTGGAGGGCTGAGGTGTCGGTTAAGAGGTGGATCTGTTGAACTGAGCGGGTTCTTTAAGCTCCTAAAAAGACACTGTCCTCATGACATGAAGCTTTAAGGCTTTGCATGCGTGTCCTGTGATTTCAGTGACTGAAAAATGTTCCCAGAACAGCTGCCAAAGGGAATGCACTGCAGTATTTGGTGCAACAATTGGACAGCAGACACATGTATTTGTGAAATAGTCTCTAAACACTAACGGTGGAATGTTAATATGCTCTATGTTGCTATATGCTGGTGTGTGGAAGATGTGAGAAATTTGGTAGTCAGTACCAAATTTATTGATTTCCATGGTTCTCAGCACTAAATTCCACCTTCGAACCTCAAAGATGTTCAAGATGTTTCCTCCTTTCATTCAAAATGCTTTGTGACCCCATTAATTATCAACTGTGGCACTCCAGGTACAGCCACTGGGTCAAGTTTTCTGACTTTTGCCATCAGTTTAGTTCCCTGCGGGGGTAACTTTGTTCTTTTTGTGGTTCTGGAGTGAACTTGATTCTCCTATAAGAGGCATTTTACTTAGGAATACATGGAATGGGTACCATGTAGTTGGTAGTATCTGACCTTTCATGAATCCCTAATTTTAGGAATGTGTTATGTTGTGGATGCAATTTATTCTACACTGATCGGACATTTGCTCTCTGATACATGTGTTGACCCTGTGGTAAATGTAATTTTAGTTTTTGAACCACATTGAGTTCCAAAAATAAACAGTGATACGATATAGAAAGGCAGATGAAGGGAAGGCGATAATTGTTGACATGATGGAGCACCCACATGCCATCACACCACAATTCAGGTCATTTGCAGCGAATGTTCTCTCTCAGACACCTCGAGACATTACCGTAGAACTCGATGTTGACAGTCTGACCCTGGGGGACGAAATACGATGTAAAGAAAATGATGAGCATGTTCTTGGTGTGCTCCTGACCTCCTACCTTCTCCAGTTTTGGAGCTTGTGTTTTCTTCCATCTGGAAGGCTGCTGTTTGGTCTCTGGTTCATAGGCACATACCCAACACTCATCACCAGTGATGATCCTCAACATGAAGGTTGGGTGTCAGACTTTGACAGAGTGCTGTTTCTGTAGGTCAGTTAGGAAATCTCAACATAAGCTTAACACAGGTCCTGATGTACCTGTTGCATGTGCATGACTGTGTCGCTCTCCATTCGCATTCAACAGAAACGGAGTCAGAACCTTTTGATTGCACCTTGTTCGTTGAGTTTTTATTGATGCAGTTTGGTTGTGAAAAATCCATTATAGACACTTTTAGAGTAATGCTAAAAAAGGAAAATGCAGAAAAACAGTGCATGAAATAAAGGCAGGTAAAAAAAAAAAATGAACAAGTAATAATGATAAGACAAGTGGGTTATTTATCCATGTTGTCCATAAATTCTGTTGTCTGAAGTCTTGACCATTATTATGCAGTTACAGGAAGATGAATGTTTTTTATGCAATTTGTAATAACCTGTAAAGTCACAAAGCTGCTTGAGATGGAGGCCGCTGCATTCATCATAGCAGACCAACTTACACAGTTGTAATTTTAAATGACACACATGATGATTGGACAAGCTGGAAAAACCTAATTCCAGACAATAGTATGCACACTATGTTGGTCATCTTAGGAAAAGACAGAAAAGATTTGCTCCTCACAGCGGTTTGTCGTGTAAAACATACCATGAGGACACCAATTGTAAAAAATGAGGAAACTAGTCTGTTGTTGCATCCTATTAGTTGGCACAGCTACTGACCTACTTTCCTCAATTGAGCGGAAATCTAGCAATCATCTGAATTTTCTTTCTTTTCATGTTTTGTATTGGATGGCTGATTAGTGGTTAAGCAACTTCGTTTCTTTCTGTCTGTGCCCAGGGGTGGACATCCTGAAGCTGGTGGCAGCCCAGGTGGGCACCCAGTGGATCGATATCTACCAGTCTCTGGCCAACGCCACGGAGCGCGAGGTGGCCGCCTTCTCCAACGGCTACTCGTCTGATCACGAGCGGGCCTACGCTGCTCTGCAGCACTGGACCATCCGGGACAGTGATGCCAACCTGGCCAAGCTGATCAACGCCCTGCACCGGCAGCGGCGCATCGACGTAGTGGAGAAGATTCGCTGTGTCATGGAGGACAACCCACAGGTAGGTTAGCTCCATGTGTGGCCAGGATGTTCCTCGTGTCCTGTTGTAAACGAGGTTGTCAGATATATTCAGGAGTGCAGTTGGCAAAAATCTGCCCCCTTTGCCGTCTTCACATCTTTTCCATCAGCCGCTCTGTCAACATCTCTGGCACATGCTGGAGAACACTCTGTTCTCTGCGTGTCTCTCAGACTGACATCTAATCTGGGTGGAAGGCTTTCTGGAGTGCCCCTCTGAAGCCAGTCCCCGTGGTTCGGCTGCATTCCTCACATTAAAGCAACACTTCACTCTGAGAGGATGATTTGATGTTTAACCAGTAATTGCGCTTGGTGCTGCAGCTTGTCCCTGCATACTGCACAGTTTTGGAAAATTGCTTGTTGGGATAAGTGAGGAAGTGGCATGACTTTGGATCGGATTTCTGTCTGGGTGAGACTAGAATGAGTGTCTGAAGAGGAACTAAACGAGAGATGACAGACTGAGGGGAGGCCAGAGGGCCCGACTTTATAAAGCTTTTCAGACATTTATTCAGTTGTTGCTCTGTTAATTGAGACATCATAATTAAATCCACTATCACAGTGTATATTTTTTAGGGCAATATGGGTTTACACCATGATACAGCAAATCTTATGCAAAATGTCAAGAGGATAATTAGGAGAGGACCCTGATGCAGACATACGAGGCAGGCAGTCGAAAGTAATAAACTTTAATGAACCTAACTGAAAAACGGTAACTAATCCCAGGAAAACAGAATGAAAAAAAAATAACAGGAAGTCACAAATAGAATCCCTGCAGATGAAAAAAGGGGAGGATGAACTGACAAAGACAGAGGGAAAGACAAGACTTTTATATGCTCAAAACGGATTGAAGAGACAAGACATGACACAGGTGATTGCAAACACACAGAATCTAATCAGGGCAATCAATCGGGAGGGAAACTGAGAGAAATGGAGGAAATAAGACAACAAGAGACACACAACGTCAAAATAAAGCAGGAAATAAACTGAACAAATCCAAGACCATGACACAAAAGAGTGTTGTTGGCGCAAAAACCGATAGCAATATTTATTTTTGGCCTATCCAGCAAATGAAATAATATGCTATATATAGTTATTATAATTATTACGTTATCATTTGAGCTTAAACATTATAAAGAGTGGAATTCATGTGAGATAAAAGGGGAAAACGCATGTTTTATTTTGAATTTCTGAGTGATCTTTGAACCTTTTCTTCCCATTATTTACAGTTGTGTTGTCATTTTGCGAAAGCTGAAAATATTTATTTTTTGTACTGTTGTCCAAACTTATGAGAACTTAAGTGGTCGACATCCAAATTGAAAATGAAGGTTGTTAGCTTTGCCTGAGCTGTAGTAACAACCACTATCACTTTATTTATGTTCAGTACTGTACTAAAAATCCAGCAGCCTCTGCTTACACTTGGTTCAGCCTCTTGATATTTTTACAGCAGTTTCTTCAGGATAAATTTGATGCCTTTTCTCTTCTTCATCCTGTCAAACCTGCTCACATGTATTGACATGATGCAGCCTGTTGCACGCACGCAGCAACATGACTGTAATTCAGTCAACGGCTCACATGCCCGACCTCGCTCACTCGCCTCCCGGTAATCTCCTCAGAACACAAACAGAAATCCATAAACACAGAGGTCACTGGGGACACACTGGATCCTTCGTCACCATTTACTTTCTTTCTTCCTCTCTCTAACTTTTCAGCCACTTGTATCAAATTAGTGCTCTTCGCCAACCTCCCCAAGGTCAGCGCTGCACAGTCGGACTTTTGTTCGAGCAAAGATGCGGCAGCCAGTTATAAACGGTTCTTTCTTCAGCACTTAATAATCAGTAGATTATATCCAGCGACTGTTTTTCCGTCTGCCTTAATTGGATTGATGTTGGATAAGATAGCAGATATTAAAATAGTTTGGCGTGGAAGACTCTTATGGAGAACACAGTGTGTTAAATATAGGCAGTGGGAAGACCTCAGGATGAACTTGCGCAGATCATTTTATGCAATTTCCCTTCGGCACTGTGTTTTTTAATGTCATGCACAAAGCACGGTACATAAAGAAATGTTTTTTTTCCAGAGTGGCCTCCAACTCCACCCAATTTGGATGTTATCATACCATTCAGTAGCCGTTATCAGTGGATGTCATTCCCATATATACTGTATGGATAGGTAGGGACTTGCTCATCCTTTTGGTGGACTCAGTAGGCCCATTCACCAGTGCTATCAAGGAGTGTTTAGATGAGAACCCAAGTAATCCAGAGAAAAACAAAAATCAAATGCATAAGGTAAGAAAAACTCCAAAATCCAAAACAATAACAAGAAACAGACGCGGAGAATGAAACAGGCCACTGTGAGGTGGTAAAACAGTACAAGCTGGCCTGAGATAAGACAAAGACGAGACTATTTATACACTCAGAACTAAATGGAGAGACGAGACACAGGTGAAACAGATCAGCCAAAGAAAGGAAATAAAGCAACAAGAGACACACAAGGATTACAAAATAAAACAGGAAATTGACATACCAGAAACCCAGACTATGGCAGGTGCTCCATTTTCGCCACATTCCATGGCGGTGGAGTTGCGATTTAGCATTTACACAGAGGAACAGAAGTCTGTATTTGGAGGCTGGTGGGGATGAAGGACTCATAATTAAGCAGAAATCTTCTTGGACCAAATATTTAGTTTCATTTTCTGACTTAGGTCTTGTTCTGACTTTTGCTTTAATTTGCTGTTTTTTGTTGTTTTTTTTTACCCGTGTGTTTAGTTACATTCAGGCACCAAAACTAACTTTTTTCTATTCCTTCCCGCTACACTAAGAACAGAGGTGTTGCTGCCTTTTTACTTCATGCTGGGTAAAGAGTTTAGACTGTTTCTTTTGTTTCCTTTTCAAGGTTTCTTAGCAGGCTACAACACTGTCTGTCGTCTTTTGATTTTACTATTTAAATTGATTTAGCCACACTCCCAGGCTCTGTTGTTCTTTGCAGTATTGCCTATTTTGTCTGCCAATGATGCTACTGAGCAATAAATGAGTTTACTAAACCTAAAATAACTGCTTTTAGGCATCTAGCACCCTAGCCGAACTGGGATGTAAAACAGTCATTACCACATGTTACAAAGCTCCATTTTGTACAGTTTAAGTAACTCTGCTTAACTTTACAGGCACTTGTTCACACAACCACACGAGATTTCCACTGTTTTTTGGGTTACTTTGTGTTTATTAATGATCAGAATGGACGATAACATGTCTGCTGAGCATATGGGAAGTTGGACGAGGTCCCTGCTGGGACATAAGAGTGGGAATGAAGTGCAGTGATAACAAACCATTTTACAGACTGATAACATCCAAATTAGGTGGCAAATCCCTGCAGCAGAACTCAAAACCTGTTGTTGCAACAGCCGTTAATGCCCCTGGTTTTGAATCGAACCTGAGCAATCACCTGCTGATGTAACGTTTGGGTGCTTTTATCTATTTCCATGTTGCCTTTTTTGGGAAAGAACCGAATAAGAACAAACAGTGAAAGGCAAAGGGTTTGTAAAAAAAACATCCTTATACACACCTGAAAACATTGTGAGTAATGTTTCTTGAAGTCATTTGGGTGTTTTTGGTGATGCCCTCTTCCAGATGACCCATCTATGGTTGATCAGGTGTCTTTACCTCCCTCCATGGGTGTCCTCTCTTAATCTGGAGCTATCTTAATCTTTCTTTAGCTTCCGTTATCGCTGTCTTTTCTCCTTGTCAGTCTAGTGAGGCCAAGCTGGATAAAGGCTTTATCACACAGTTGCCCCCTGAATCCTTATGACTGTGGTATCGGTTAACCTATACTGCCCCATGAATAAGACATCACGCAACCTTACACAAAAGCCTGGTATGTTTTTCTGAAGGCTTTTCTATCTCGACAAACATTTCTTTTCCTGGTGCTTCGTGTTGAGAACAAGAAAAAGCTGTGCGGAGCGTGAATCACACTGATTGAACGAAATGAGATTTCAGCTCTGCTCTTGTTTTGAACAGAAGCTTCTGTAGAGGCAAAAGCTCTATGGGGGTTTAAATAAAGGCGTGGAGAAAGTGTGAGCAGTACATACAGTATACGTGCAGCATATGGATGGATTGGATGGATCATGAAGGTCAGGATCAATCTGTGAACAGCGTGTTCTTCATTTCACAGCAGGTCAGTGTGACTCACTAATGGGAAGCATGTCAATGCGTCTTTTACATAACAGCGATATATGACATTGGACGCTGCGTCGTCACAGTATCGATGGCATTCCCACTGGAAAAACTGAGCATCAGCTGTCTGATGGATGTTTCTATTTTTATCTCTGCTGCTGCATGAGAGTTGAAACCAGACAGAAGACTGATGCGATTCCCTTCCTCCCCTCTCTCATGTCTGTTCCCCCTCACAGTGAGGCATCCTCCGAGGAAGTGAGTTTGCAGAGCAGAGAGCCAGAGCTAAAATAAGACTTTAAATAGACGTATTCACCACAGTGGTACTGATGCGAGTCTAAAAAAAATCTGCTCCTTTTTGCTTTTCAAATGCTGCAAAATGTGTTCTGAACCATTATCCAGAAGTTGACAAGTCATATTTTACATCTGCAAACAACATAACTCGTGATTAAAGTTCAGTAAAGTAAAAAAAAATATGTTGTATTCATGTTTCAAATGAATGTTTCATAGAGATGTACCGCTGTGTCTGCCTGCTTCTTTGGCCTTGGCGTCAGTGTGTACAAATAAGTGATTAAAGAGCAGCCATGCTGTTTCATTTCGATAAGTCTCCTGTGCAGAGCTAATGAATGCATCATGTTGGAGACTGCAGCAGACGGAGCTCCTGTCCTCGGGGAGGGCTGCAAAACAGAAGGAATCAGCGAAGAGGAAAGATGGAGAATTTGTGGCTTTTCTGTTTTTCCTGTTTATCAATTCAAAGCAGAGTCCGGGTTGTTTATGCAGGTCTGTCAAAAGTCAGAGAAAGACTCCGGAAGGCAACGAAACT